ATTTCTCTCTGAGATGTGTTGGATTAGAAAGTGGCGTGAAAAGAAAATACTCAAGTAAAGTATTAATACCTCTAATTTGTACTTAATTGCTGTACTTGAGTAAATGTGCTTAGTTACTGTCCACCACTGTTGTATTGTTGCTTTAATAATCTATAGTAAACTTACCTCGTCTATTAATGCTACTCCAAATCCACATCTTTGCAGGGAAAATTTCAAATCACAAAAACCACATATGACTCATGATATCTAGCTACACAAATATATTTTAAAAACAAATATAGTTCAGGTTTTCGTTACAGGGACAAACCAGATTTGCTATATCTGTTACTCAAAACGTTGCAAAGAGTCAAAGAAGACTGACTGTTAAGTTATTAGAGGTGTTCAAAACATATGTGACCAAATCTTTCTGAATGAATCTTCAAAGTGAACTGACTATACTAAATCACCATTGTCACTGATCGAGTAGCTTTTAGCACTGGAGCTCCTCTGAGTGAGTGCACTTGTCAGCTCAGCTGTGATTCACTGGTCGATTCTAGATGATAACCCTATATTTCTGATACTTTTCAAACCCAAATGCACCAGGGCAAGACATTACTGTTTTGGTCCCATCATGTCCACACATGTTGATCTACAACACAAAATCAAACATTCACTCTAATTTTGTTATTGATGGTGGTTTTTGGCTTTTTTCTTCACAGTATATGAGCTGTAGCTGTGAACATGACAGCTGACTGTGAACTGAATGAATGTGATCTGTGTTTATGCTCTAACTTTGTGGTTTGAAGTTGTGCAGTATTGATTATTTACAGGCCTGCATCAGGCTGATTTTGTTGGATCTGTGTTGTTTTTGCAGAATGGCTTGAGCCTGAATCCGCAGTTAATGTTAACTGAAGTCAGGCTTTCCACAATAAACCCAGCGTTAATTGTTGTGCCTTGTTTCTGGGAAACCCCGCTGTTCACCAGAATCACTTCTTCAACAGCTGTGAAGAATTTTCTGACATTTAGAACAAACCAATCCTGTTTCCGATGATGTGACACCTCAACACTCCTTTACCCCCCCAACAGCTGCAAGGTGGTGTTGATATTTGGCTTTATTATAGCAGGCGTCTGGTTTTGGGTGGGGCAGTGTGACGGATGGCAGGGCTGAGGCTGAAAATGCTCTGGTGCTGTAGTTCGATAAGTGCCAGCCAAGGGCAGCTGTTGGGATGGACTGTGTGGATTGCATTAGACCCTCTGGTGGGTGGCAGGTCTCTGAACCTTGCAGGGCATTGTTGTTGGCCCCTCCACAACACCCACCATCAAGTTTCCCATTTCAACACATTTTTGTTCTCTTGTCCCCACTCATGCTAAGGATAGATGATTTTGCCAGTATAAATGTGGTCTGGAAGTAATTTGTCTATTTTTTTCAAGGGGATTTCTCTCTGGCGAACTCCATGTGTCTTTCTCTCTCTCTCTACGCCTGGCTTGTTGCTAGAGCCATCACTGTTGCTTCAGGAGAGAGAAGTCCTGCAAGAGTCAGATGACGTGATTACAGTACACTAGCTGAAACCGATTTATTCACTGTGTGTTTAGGACAGTAACTGAGATTCCAATACTGACAACATTTAGTCTGCTAAAGCTTTGTAGTGACCTGGAGCTGAAGATGGAATATGTACAATGAAACCTGAATCCTTGCTCTGAGGGTGATGGGTTATTGCTGGGTCAGAACAAAAACAAAACAGGAATAACAGATCAGATGGTGGGATATTAAATGTACTTGTATGTATAGAAAAACATGTACAGTAGAAATGAGGGGAAATCAAATAATACACCAGAAATATGTATATGAAAAAAAAAAGTATGCATGTGAAAAAAAATACTTTTACATGGATGTAGTACAAAATGAACTCTCTTCAACATTTTTATTGTAAAAAGGAAACATGAGAGGATGTGGTCAATGATGATTTTATATTGGAGCAATTCTGTGATCTTAATCAGGCAAACAGGACAGTAATAAGATTGCCGTCGTGACTTCAACGTCATGTCTGACAGGGACGTAAATGAACACGCAAGGATAAGAAGAATCTTGTGGTTGGGGCTCGGACCTTTCTGTGTGGAGTCTGCAAGTTTTCCCCGTGTCAGCGTGTCTTCCTCCCACAGTCCAAAGACATGCAGATTAATAGGTTAATTAGTGACTCTGAATTGTTGTATATATGAGAGTGAATTGTTGTTTGTGTGTCAGCCCTGTGATGAACTGGCGACCTGCCCCGCCTCTTGCCCAGTGTTATCTGGGATTGGCTCCAGCCTCAAGCGAAGGGTAAGAGGTTATAGATAATGGATGGACAACAAAACATGACAAGAGCCTGCACTGTATGAACGTGAAGCAAGGCATTGCTCAGTTTACCTTCACATTTATGTATCTATTAATTTCATCTTTTTGAGATAAAGCACTATAGCACATCCAGATGTGGCAGCTCTATTGTTGACAGATGTATTTTCCTGTCACCATAGTGAACAGATGGGACTCCCTTCCTTGCCAAAACATTAAAACACATCATTTATCTATTTTGGAAAGACGTCTTGGATTCCATTTGGTGTTTTATTTGATGCTCTATATATTTGCCAGACTACCTGTTATCTTGTCATCTCATCTTAAAGACTCTATTATATTCATACCAAAATGAAGCAGGGGCACAAATTCAACACCTCATCAAGATGACTTATGTATGTATTTTGAAGAGTATTTCATCCTCATAAATAATCTTAGTTGAGATTTGTTTATGCCCTGCAGTGTTTTGCCTTGATCACATGCCAAAATCCGTGGGTGTCTTGAGGCATCTTTGTCTGCGCCTCTGCTACAAAATGTTGATGTGAGGTCGTGACACAACCCCTCCTCCATAATTTCCAAAGGCCTCCATTGTATCTTGTACAATGGCCTTATTTGGTGTACTCCTCGGTCGCTAGCCTAAACCTCAGGAAAGCCCCCTCTGCAAAGAACATGAGACATTATGGAGTGTGTGCCAGCTCCCATAGACATGCTCAAAGAATAGCAGTTTATAATTGTTTTTGAATATTAGACCCTCGGGCTTTATTTTACACGATGATTTCATAATGCTTAGGGGATTGACAGAAGGTTGACCATGCATACGTTTCCATGCAGCTTTGAAAAGGATGGTCCTGCATGTTCGCTGTCCTTGCTCTGCTCTTCCGTCTTATTCAGCCAACCCTTTCTCTTAAGTGAATGTTACAGGAAATAGCCCAAAGGGTCTTAATTAAAGTCATGCTGAGGTTCATTCTGTTCAGCACAACACTCAAGCTGTCACGAGCCCTATTTCCGTTTACACATACTTCTGTGTGAGCACTAATGTGTTTGCAATATGTTATTGAGGAGAGCTACAAATTTAAACTGCACAGCATTTTGCTAATCTTTATAAGTTCCATGTGAAAAACTTATCACACTGCAGTGCTTTACACTTTTTTTGATAGCTTGTAATTTTTCATCAAACTGGGCAAAAAAGAGAGAGAGGTGCAGTACGATTAGCAGCAAATTGAAACCCATGCCAGTTCAATTATCAGGTAATTTGTTTGTTTGTTTTTCAACCTTCAGGATGATTCTGACAGAGGTCAATATTTTGCGTTGTTTTCTGAGTCCTAAACAAGTCATTATAGGGCCCTCACCAAATTTAATACCATTTTGACAGAGTTAGAATTTGTAAATGTACAGAAACACTGTTGAAATGTTTTATGTATTACTTAAATACATTTAAGGACAATTAAAAGCGAAATGATATGGGATACTTTGGTATAGTATATTATTAATGTGACTAAGGTTGGGGTTCATCATCAAATCTGAATTTAGTTTTGGATCCCTCATTGAATCCACAAAAGTAAAAGAAAAAGCACAAAGTTAGAGTGATTCTTTTTTTTACCTCACAAATTATCTTTGGGCTGCAGAAGACAGCATTAAAGCTGAGGGTAGGCAACGTTGGAAAAACTAGCAAACTAGCATTTGGACCGAATTAAATGATTGGCGGTGTTTATTACAGTCCTGCGAATAGAAGATTGAGACTTGAGTCTCAGTCATGTGACTCTACTCCACAGTTTCTTTATGTTTATAATGAGACTAATACATGGAGGCCCTGATGAATTGTTGTAGAGCTGGGTGTGTATCTGTAAATGTGAGTAGATCATGCAATGGAGGGTCCCAATAGTGGGAGAAAAAGTACCTCAGTATAGCAGAGGCCTGTAACATAGGGACAAAGGTTTTACATGCCCGGCACTGTGAAGATATGATGGTACATGTTGAGTAGCTATGTGATGGAGATGAACAAGAGGCCCTGCTAATGTGAACAGGATCAAGTTGAGCTCTGATTTAGCAACAGGAGAGCCTTTGTGTTTGTCATATGGCGCTGGGACTGAAGCAGCATAGGTCATGTGAATTGTCAGTGTTCATCACCGTGGCTAGTGTGGACGTCATTGTTCCATTACAACAACATGTCAACATTTCGTGACAGAGTTCATGATTTGACACACCATTAGTGCTGTGCTCATCAAACTGAAGGACTTGCCTTGTACTCATTAATGAACTTCATTATCTGGGAACACAGTGCACTGAGATCTTTCAATAGCATAGGGGAGCTGATTTAAAAAAAAACCTACCACACCCACCATTCAGCTATTTCAATATCTCCCTCTGGAGTTGCATTACTTGGAGCTGAAGATTTTCAAATCCCCAGCCAATAAATCAGGCAGCCGTTCCCTTGTTACCATGGCCTAGGGCTACTCCTCTTAGTGTATTTTGGGATTGAGATCAAGCAGAGCATGACCACCTTTACCCCAGAAGTAAACACAGCTCATGAGAGCTTTTTTATCCAGAAATCAGAAGATCTGAGTTACTGGTCTTCATCTCTTCAACACGAGGTAGGATCCCATGGCATTTACTAGGTCACTATGGATTGGCTTATAAGGCTCACATCAGGCTTTCATAATGGAAATGTTATTTCACAGCACACAGGCACTGGTTTCAATTGTTGTATGATATTATTTATGTATAAAGACTTTACAATTGAACACATGACTTTATTGCAATCAGCATGCCTTTTATGAATAAACTTTAAAAAAAACGCTCTGCATAATTCACAAACAGGTAAAACAATGTAGTTGTGAATCATTAATGGTGTACAAGACCAAAGCAACACAAAAAAGTGCTGTAGGAGTTACCTCATGTGTCTTAAAGTTAAAACAAATCGTGGTCCCATTATTGAAGATGGCACAGCTTATTATAAGGACCACAATGGAAAAAAGCCTTTGGGCTTTATTGTGTCTTTATCCTTTTGATGATTTGTGTATCTCTGGCTAGAGGCCACTTTTATATTAATGATCAACAAAGAAGTTAAATCAATCAATGGCACAGTGAACCTTTTGTTATGACTGATTGGGGCGGTCAATTTCCATAGAGGTGAAAATGTTCAAATGCTCAACAATAATGACAAGATTTGGTGGTTATGCAAATGTTATTAACAATACAAAGGCTGCATATTTTATACAACATAGAAATGTAACATGATGCATGGAAATTAGAAAAAAAAGTTGTATGATATTGTCAAATGACTTCATGTAAATATAAAAACTATTACACTTAGAAACTTTTTTACATTGTCTTGTTTTTGGAGTTATATTATATTCAACATAACCCTCAAAACAAGATTAGTGGTATAGAGACAGGAAGTATCATGAGGCCGGAATAATAATCAACAGATACGTGATCAAAGTGCTTGGTGATAGGATGGAGTAGATGGGCAAATGAAACAAGGGTTGAAAGTTTAATTTTACAAACATTTTTCAGAAGGAGAACTACTCTGGATACAGAAATAATCTCATTAGTTGAGTTAAATGTTGGGTGGTGGAGCAAATAACACTAGCTGTAAAAATATCTGAAGCCTACTTAAAAGGCAAAAGATAAAAGAGGAGGTAGCTTATAGGTTATCTAGTTAGGTCACTGCATTTCCTCAAACTAGGTGCTAGCTTCAAGGAAACTCTTGACTGAACAAATAGACGACAGTGTTCATGTAGGGCACTTAAGTTGCGCTTGTATTGGCTGATCGGCATGCACTGTTTCATTAATGCTTCACCATCACTCCGGCTCCTTGGCATGCAGATGTACGCCACGGCCATTATAATCACTATTAAGGACCAACCAGACCTTAAAGCGGCACCACGAAGTTCATCTGTGCGTCTTAATGAAATTGGCAATGCTAGCAGATTGGTGACATAGTAACTACTAACAGGACTGTGTATCTGGCAAAATGCAATATTTGCTGTTTAACTTGCTATATAGACAGTCACAATTATTAAAATAGCTGCTGGCCACTAACAGGACAATAAGTTCGCTAAGTTTGTTCAAGAAATGTACTTCTACCATTGTCTCATAACTGTCAAACCATGCCTGTTTTGTTGAGCAGTTTTTACTCCAGCAGAGGAGGATTAGAAAAAGGTGCATGTTGAAATACTGCTAATAAGTTAGATAAGTCAGCACTGACAAGATGGTTTGCTCTCAAATTTTGGTGTCACGGTTGCATATCATTGAGTTAACTAAGATTTAATGTTCATGTACAGTATGTGTGAATTTTGGAGGGATTAATTCTCCCAGAAGAGTCCTTGTTGCTGCTTGGATTCTTGAAGAGCTCCCACAAAGCCCAGAGCCTTTTCTGCAGAATCGAATCCATTTACCACATATGGTCAATTTCTTGACATTAGTGTCTCTAACTGAACTCTCTTCTTTTCTCTTTTCACAGGGCGATGTAGTCTCAATGACTCTTGATTATTTCACTTATATAATGTAATAAGTGTATTGGTAGCGCTTTCAAAAAATATTGTTTCATCAGCATAGATTCTGATTCTTAGATGCTCAACTGTACGTTTAAAGAGTTATTGGTGGCTGTAATCATCCTCCTGTCTATAATGTTTGTGAAGTGACTCCATTGTAAGAAACTGGATACTAAACTGGACACAGAATCCACAGTTTTGAGTGTAAAAATGTTTTTTTAATGGTATGAATTTGTCTGGCATCGTGTCAGTGTAATTGCGCAAGGAGGGAATCACTCCAAGTCAGTATCGTCAGGAGGAATGATTACAGCAACCAAGACCTCTTTCATCTTACTTGTAGCTAAATATGTATTAGAATAAAATACAACATATCTGAATGACCCTTTAAAGAGATATCAAGGCTTATGTTTTAGTATCTACTTGACTGACATGAGCCAATATATCTGTCTGCTAGTTAGCCAGCCTGCTGACATTTCATAAATGACCATATAAAGAAATCTCTCTGCATTCCTAAACTCTGCCCAATGAGCTTTAACTCAACCTGTGAGATTATTTCCACTGTTTGCTGTCCAATCTACTGATATATTGTACAGTCACATCTCAAAAAACATTTGAGGTGTGTATGTTTGGTACACTGCGATCAGGTGTTTCAATAGCATGCAATGGTACTTGAAGGATGGTGTGGGTTCATCCTTTGTCCTGTTGAGTCCAATGTCATATTGGATTTGCTTCAAGGCTGTCAAAATACTGAGTATCTTCATTTTATTTAGGTGCCATACTGTGATCTTATCTGTAGCACAAACTAGCTGTGTTCATTGGTCAACAAAGTTTACCTGATATGTGAGCTGATGACCATTATCCCAGGCATACAAAACCTTCTCCTTGGGGTTGTAGTCAATCTGGGTGGTGAAGGAGTACTCATTGGTGAAGGGCAGGCGTGGGATGGCTTCAGTGTTGGTGTGGGTGTCATAAGCATAGGTCACCTCACCTTCCTTTTGGTTGTACACATTGACAGCGTACAAGACACCACAGATGATGAAGCAGTTTCCGTATGAGTTCCGTTTGAGACCTGTCCTCCAGGTTGTTTCCTTTTTCAATGACAGGTCTCCGGGATCCAGTTTACTGATGATGATCACCTCTTGCTGGTTGTAGTCATAGTCCATGGAAGGGTAGATCACCCACAAGCCGCTTTCGTCCACTGCGAAGTCAATGTCCGAGTGGCCTCTCCATTTCCAGGGGGTGGTGTCCTCGTAAACCACATCATGCAGCAGTGTCCAGGCCGCCACATATCGCATCCTCAGATCATACTTGATGATGTTCTTTGTAAAGGCTCTGTTGTAGTAGAAAGCTCCGTTATAAACCACATGCCCTGTGCCTATCCAGTTGTAAGGCAATTTGAAAAGGTTGCTCCATCGGCCTACAATAAACAAGAATATTATGTTATCTTTACTTGTATTTATTTATTTATTAAGAAACATGGATGAATACTCAATGGTCATTTGGAAATGGATACATCCTGTTGCATAAAACAGACCATTGTTTTACCTCTGATGCAAATGCTGCCTTCAAAGCCCATAAGTGCTCATGTTGAAGTGTATTATGACCTGAGGCTGCTCCATTGTGGCTCTAAGAAAAGCCAGTAGTTAGGTCTATTCAAAATCCTTCTCATCACACCTCAGCTACAGCTGAACTCCCTCCTTCTGGATTTTCGGGCTCCAGTAACTGCCATATAAACGTCAATCCAGGACTCTAATATGCCTTCACAAACATATATGGCAGACATCACTCTATGTCCATGACATTCTAGAGTCAATGATCCGATTATTTTGTAGTCAAGAAGTCCTGCTAATTTTGCTGATTGACACCTTGTCTGCTCTAAAGACTTGACTTGAGACTTAAAAGCAAAAACACTGAAGACTTAATATCTTATAACATAAAAAGGTAATTAAGACACCCACAGGTAAGCCTCGTATAGCCGGACATAATGTTTGAATCTTCAGTTATCAGGCCCATGCATTGAAAGCGCTTGGTCAGGTATACAAACAACGTCATTAATGCAACTCTGGTAGGAAAATGTTCAAATGGAGTTCAAATGCTCAGCCCCGAAAGACATGCAAATGACATGCAATTTGTTTATGATTCCTTGAGACTTGAGTCGGACTTGCCCTAAAACCAGCTCTGCTAGACAGTCTTGAGGAGCCAATGTGTTAATTGATAAATTTAGCTTGCAATAAAATAATTTTAAAACATTTAAAATGATTAATATGTTTGGTCAACAGCCAGCCTTTCAATAAGCGGGATAATATATAGCTAGCTGGTCATTAGTTGTAGTGCTTATATATTCATTATCTTTCACTTGTGCTAAGTTGATATTATGCCCTTCATAAAGCCAATAACATTGTTTTTACAATGCCAGACTGTGTACACACTGGCTTCCTTGTAACAGTGACACAGTTTGTTTAGTAGTTCACTTCTGAACAGAGGTGTCATTTTCTAATCACATCTGCTATTCTAACCTTCCAACCTCAGGTAGTCTGATTTAGATAATGGTAATAAAAGGAAAGCCCAGTGAAGGACAAAAACAACATGCAATAACCCCCCCCCCCCCCACCACCACCACCACCACCACCACCCTCGCCCTCCCCACCATCACCACCATCCCCATCCCTAAGTCCAGCCCACACTCTTAATCCCTCTCTGCTGTGCCAAGTTCAAAGGAAAGGCCAGAGCACATGTCAGGGAACAGCAGGTATCACCACCACTCCAAATACCTAGTCATCCGCACACAGCTGTGAGCTCACCGCACTGCAGGACGCCTCACATGTAAGTGCATTTAGAAAGCCCATTGTCCAAACACATCTAGATCAACAAACCAAGTCCTATGAGGGGAGATCATCTTAACTGTCTTAGAGAGTGTAATCCTATTCCTCAGTTGATTTGGATGTGGACGGAGTTGATTTTCCCACCCAGTGGAGCCATGAAACAACCAAGACCTGCATTCCACAGATCTCATCAGTCTCACAGAGCTCACTGGACAATCAACATGAATCAATGTCACATGTTATTAGAGAAAACACAGATATACATTAAAACAGGGTGATACTAGAGTTAGATCAAAATGTTGGGATGATAATGGTGTTTTGAGTTTGATGATGAAAAAGATGAAAAAGTGAAGATATTCATTACTCGTACTTACACCTGCACTGTAGATCTACACTTACACTTATACCTGCAATTCCCATTGTCCACTATAACTGCTGTACATGCTGTATATATCTTAGTGTATTCATTTCATTCGGTTCATACTGTTAAAAGTGCTCATACTGTTAATACTGTTTATACTGCATATATGTTAGTGTATCTTAGCGTATATATCACATTACATTACTATTATTATTATTATTATTATTATTACTTTTTTATTTCTTAGCCCTAAATCTTGGTCAAGTTAAATCTGAGCTAGCTTAATGATTTGATTGACAGATTTATGGGATTACAGTGTAGCTACGTGCATAGGCTATGAAGCTATGCTGGAGCAGGCCAGAGGTTTTCAAAGTCTGACAGTGTGGAATGCACCTCAAACCAAATCAAGACACACCCCTCCCCTGCTCCTACAATTTCAGGCTGCAATGTTCTTGATATCAAAATTGCTTCATTTTGTACTTACAGTACTGTACTTGTCTCCATGAGTTGTGTGTCACAGCCACTGCCATTGCCGCAGCTGCTGACCTCATGCAGTACCTTTGCCTCTCTAGGCCTACAGTGGCCCAAGAATTGATTTTACAACTTGTGTTTTCTCCTGCAAGTTCCTGATTCCAGTGGAGATAATGAGTGTCATGATACGGCTGTACCGGCCTCTCAGCTCTAGTGTTTCTTCTGTTTACCCCTCCTAGTGTTTTTGTCGGTCACCTTTTTGTTCTCCCTGTGTTTGTGTGTGTGGGTGTGGCACTCCTGGCTCTCCTCCCAAGGCTCCAATCATTTATTACCTGTGGCTCTTCTACACACCTGACAGCCATCTCCATATATAAGACATGCAGTATTTTAACACTGACTCAACACTCTATGCCTTGCCATATTGTCCGTTTACATATGTAGTATACAAGTCACGGCCGCAACTTGGATATTAAGTACTTTTTTGCTTTGCTTGTTTGCACTGCTCCTGACTACTGTGTTTTTTCTCGCCTGGGTCTCAGGTGTTTGTTCCATAGTTAGGAGCTTTCCGTTTGCCTGCTCTGTTCCACGAGTACTCTGTCTCTGCCGCCTGCCTGCTCACCGCACCGGCTTGCCCGCTCTAAAGACTTTCTGCCTGGATATCATCATCGCACATTTTTGGAGCCTGTCAATCAAACTTCAGTCTCACTGTCTGTTATTGAGTCCTCCGTTCCTACTGCCCATAAGAGATAGTAATGACAACTTTAAGGGAGGTGAATGTGATTGTATTGGAGTATTCTATGCAGTATCAATGCAATGCAAAATAGAGGTCACCAGGATGTTACCAGTTTTATATGTACCCACTGTATCACAAAGTGAAATAAAGCAGTTATTGTGGGGAATAAAATTAAAGCAGAACACTGATTATGGATGCAACTAGTATGTGGGTGCCATCAACAAGTGGAATTTGACACTGAATTAAGACTCAAAACCCAAGCCTAAAGTACCTATGGTGGGACTCCAGTTTACTCCTTGTATCAAACATAAATATGACTTGAGTCTAGGACTAATTGTTTGGCAATTAGGGCACTGTAAGAAGACCCAATTAAAGCACACCTTGCTTGAAGTTGTCCAGATTGCGGAACTCCACCAAGTTGTTGCCGTAGTAATAGTTTGTGACATAGATCTTGGAGTCTTTAGCCAGGGGATCCTTCATCCAGGCTCCCTCGTTGCGCCCATAACTGTGCTGCTTCTCTGGCTGCTCAATGGATGCTAGAGTGCCTTCACAGTTGAGGATCTTCCCTGGAAGAAACAAGCAGAACATTCAGCATGTATGCCTGGGGGGAATGACTTGCATTAACATGGGCTTAAATCGATTTCACACTCATAACATTTCTTGGCAAACTGGGCCTATACGCTTTGTGCTGCGAAATTGGTCCCTGTCACTACAACACGGCCTGCAACAGAATACCGAGTTTATTTACAGAGCATATAGCGTGTACCTGCTCTGTGGAGACTGGGCCGACTGTTGTTGTTGGAGTTGTCTAGAACCAGCACGATGGTCGGAGCTGGTCTTTCAGGTGCTGGTGTACTTTGTGTGGTGATAGCACTGGGTGTAGCAGTGGTGGTTGTTGTGGTGCTAGTAGTTGTGGTTGTGGTAGTAGTTGTAGTGGTGGGAACTGCAGTGGTGGCAATGGGTTCAGCCACGGTGCCCTCCACAGTTTCCAGGACCATTTCAGCTCCTCCGTCCTCTGACTGGTTTTCTGTGATGTGATGGACCGTGTACGTTTTGGCAGAATGGTCTAGAAGGGAGGGGAGGAAGTTCGGAGTTAGGCCAGAAGATCTAGATTCTGCAAGCTAGTTTTCACTGAAAATACACACAGTTCTGAGGCTGAGTGGAGATAGAGGGAAGTAATACTGAACAAGTGGCTTCTTGTTCTTGTTAGTGATTGTTACATTTAGGATAGTATGATCAAGTAGTGTGTAGGGACATCGTCTCTAAATAGTATTTCAAAAGTCTTTATAAAAGGTGTTTTAAGGTTTTCATTCACTGTACAGTACAGTATACAGCTCTTTGACAGCGGGAGACATATTATAGTCTGCTGTGTTCTAGAAGCTCACATCAAAGAAGGCACATTAGCAATGCAGCACACACAGAACACCAACTTCCTCTTCTCTGAACTTCTTTATCTTCTTTCCCTCCTAACCCAGCCTCTTCTTATTACTGCTGCAACCTAAATGATTGCATAATACAGTATATAATATAATATATATGGGATAAAATTCAGTAAAATACTGATTACTATCTTTTGGAAAATATGCATTATTTTTTATCCCGTAAACCCAGATTGGTCAGACTCTTGCCTCTTGTCGTCTAGTGTTTCAGGCTTCTATAGTCACACCAAGCTGATTCAAATCCAATCTAAGCATCTCCTTCTGGTGCTCATACTCTGACATCCTGTGCTGCCTGACAGATGTGAGAAGATCACAGCAGTGCTACATAAGTGGTGCATCTTCCTGACACACATACTCTGAACACATGGACCCGATGATGGCTGGAGTAGAAACAATATTCTCAGAAGGTTTTTACAATTAACAGTAGAAAGATAAAGATGTTTTAAATTGTACCTGGAATTAAATGTAACACTAATTCCCTAATTTAGTGTTAGTGTTGTGTGCATTCTGATGTAGAGGCATGGTAATGTAGTGTAGATAGTCTGCACTTACTGTTGTATTATCATGCAACTGGAGCTGCTGCCCCCATCACCCAACCCCGGATAAGAGGATGAAGATGGATGGATACCTCTGCAAGATGCCCTTTGGCTACAAATGCCTTAATCTCAATGTTACAGTTCCTGTTGTAAACAGTCAGTTGTCCAAATGCATTATAGGTTGTTGCAGCCAGGCGGTAATTGATTCAAGTTTGCTGGCTGGTAAAATGAGTGTAGGCAGTTTCACCCAGTGTTTAATATTTCCCTCTCTTTCTACAACATCTGCTCAGGTGTCACTGAGCAAGTCCCTGAACTCCAACTCAGCTGCTCCGTTAGACCAAAGTTACCAAGCTGAGGAAAAATCATGGTGTATCAATGAAAAAGTGTTCTTGCATCCTTCTCTTTGCCAGAGATTATGGAAATGCAGTGGACACGTTCCAGTGATTTGACAAGGATGGCTGGCTCACTGAGGTTCACATACATGGCAGAACACAAGGTCTGACAGTGTTATGTACGTGTGTCCTGTGCAAATGCAGCATACCTATTCAGTCAACTACACTTAAAGAGGATTGGAAGGAGTCAGGAAATGTTTTCTCTGCATTGGTGAGGGTCCCCACACATTGTTGTAAGGAGTGAAGCTGAGGCATGTCATGGACATGGCAGTGCTCCATTGAGACAGCATTCCATCAGGTCCATGTATTTTGTCAATAAAAGATTTGGACTTCCTGCCTGCTGAATATGCACCAGCAATCCAATCCTGCGCTGACTAGATCAGCTTCCCTTAAAACAACGCCGGAATAAATCTTGTATTCAGGGGATCTTGTGTCCACAGTAATGGATTCCAGCTTTTATTTTATTTTCACATTTAAAACATTCTCAGGAAAATTTTATAGTGTCCTCAAATGGAAACTAAATCCAGCTAATAGATCCTGACTCTGTTTCTATGACTCTCTAGCTGCTGGCTGATCCTTATCCAGCAAAGTGGCATGTGGGTTCAGATTAGATAGCTGAAGAAACTAATTTGGATTATTTTCAGCACCCACAGTGGATCACGCACAGATGATCGCACACAGATGGGAGTGCAAACTCAGCTAAAGTGCCAGCACAATGTTTGCTTTAGCTCAGAGAGTGTGGCTTTCTATGAACACACCACTATGCTGGGAGAGTATACAGAGTGTCCCAGCCAACCAGAAAACCCTCACCTCCTCTGTGCTCATCCTCGTCGGTCTTGGCAGCCTTGTAGTATGTGATGCCCCTCACCACACCAGGCTGGTGTCCAACCACCTTGGCTTTGGCTGTAGGGTCAGGCTTGACCGACTTCCCAGGTTTAATGACCTCTTTCTTGGGCTTTACGACCTTTTCTTTGGGCGGTTTGGGTGGGGGTTTGGCTACAGGGGTCTTTTTGTTGGGTATTTTTATAGCTTCCTTGGTTTTCTCACCATTAGTGTCCTGTAAACATGAACATCCAGGTTATGTCAAGACACTTGGTAATATTGGCTTGTGTATGAAAATGTATTTTTCCCTGTTCCCTGTGATATCCATCTTGATAATGTATCCCATTGTGTTAACATAAAACATAAATTATCATACAAATGATGCGTAGGCGTATACTACTGTTACTTGTCCTAGTGTTTATAATGTTACCAATGTTACTACTACTAGTACTACTGCTGTTACTATTGTATCTGCTACTAAGGGCTGTAGTCAAGACCACTTAAGCGGAGTCAGAGATAGGACCAAACAAGAGTTTGGACACTGAATCAAGACAGTCCAGAAACAAAACAGTGCTGATTCAATATTGTTCACACTTGTGTCTTATTGTTCATAGTGAGGATCAGCTGCAGTACACTTTAATCACACAGTTCGACCCTTTGGATTTAGATTGTTGATTGAAACAGGTCAGGAAACCGCATAAATCTTCCTAAATGTTCCATTATTTGCAAATGTTGTGGGCAAAAAGGCAAAATATTCTTGCACAATGTTACCAGCTACAGTAACACTTGTTGAGGCAGTGGAAACAAGCTTTTAACACAACATTGACATTATTGCCTTTTCAGATGATATGGGGAGCGTGTTAGCGGTTATCTATTTACACATCTAGCAGACACACAGCAACATCAGCATTCATTTGCAGCTGTGTGTCCAATATTCACTCTCCTTTTAGCTCAGTTTTGGTCTCCACCTAAAGGAAATATCTGGCTCTTTAGCAGTTAAATGCTCCACTGGGATCAATGGCTAGTTGCTAATTTTGTCTGACTGCCATTTGGTGCTGAGCTGGGAGTGTATTGTGAGCTTTTAGAGATTTTTATCTGCAAGCAGCAGCCTGCTGATGAAAATGGTGCATGTGACAGCAATGAGACCCAAACAGTAAAGTTGTGGGCCATTAAACCAAAACAATTGCCGAGCTGACAGACACTCAAATGCTCTATGGAGCATTTGAGGGAAATATTTCCCTTTAAGTTTATCAAAGAGAGCGACCCCTTTAACAAACACAACATCATCTGATCCATTGTAAATTTAAAAAGATACTTAGCCAATTTAAAGGAAACATTTTTGGGATATGTATTTATTTACTTTCTTGCTCAGAGTTAGATGAGAAACTCACAATCTGAACAGTAAATATGAAGCTACCGCAGGTGGCTAGCTTAGCTTAGCATAAAGACAGGAAACGGGGGAAACAACTGCCAGGCTCTTTCCTATGGTGATAAAAAAAAAAGTAGGCGGTGGTAGGTGGATTTTGACAAAAACACTGTAGTAGGTGAGACCGGTGGCTGAGAGTGATACAAGTAAATTAAAGCACCCAATTTACCAATGTACTGAAATAATAGAAAAACTGTCTGGAGACTGAGACTTAAGGCTGAGACTGGACTTAAGTACAACAGCTGCCTGTAATGTACTGCTACTCTTACAACTACTATCATTACTATAACAATTACTAGTACTATACTAATTACTATTTGTTCTTCTAACCTGTGCTTTGCTCTCAGAGGAGTCTTTCTGTAGCAGTTGCAGGCTGAGGCTGGAGATCTCCTTCTTGATGCTCATCATAATGTTGGAGTAGTTCTCATATCTCTTGAACTGGTTGGTGAGGCTCATCATGCTGTCCCGGACAAATTCATTATCTCGCGTAAGATTTGTCTTGATTGTCTGCAAGATAACATCATTATTATCACCACAGTCCATCAAATGACATAAGCTGGTAAGCGTGTCTCCTACCAAACTTTGATTATAGGAAGAACATGAGCTTGGTTGTTTTCCTACCTCCTCCAGTGTGTTCATCTGGGATACCACCTTGTTGATGTAGGAGTGGACTTTCATTAGATCCATGCTGTAAAGTGTTCCCTCAAGGAGGTCCACCATAGATTGGAGCTGGTGAGTCAAGTCATAAAAGGAGAACAACTAGCGTTATTCACCATCTTTTGAACATAAACCTGACTTCTTTATGTGCATCTTTTCAAATGGAGTAATAGCTCAAGTGTCCTCCCAAAACACTTGCTCTGATTACCACTATTGACATGGGCACTCTGCTCAATAAGCAGCTGAGTGCTCTCAGTTTGGGGCTCATTCAGGGTCCATCTTAATTATTATAGACCTTTCCTTTTCAATGCAAATATTTCCTCCAGAGAATTATTGGGTTAATCCATAGTTTAAAGTAGAGTCAGATCAAACATCAGGAACTGCCTTTTGTTTCATCTGGTACATAGTGTTATTCTCATTCCTGTGAAAAATGAAAGTTTATTTATATTGTTTTTAACTAAACTGTGTGTACTATTTTAATTTACATGTGGGCTTCTAGATTGCTAGGTCCAACACTTTGTAGCTGTGTTTTACACAAGTGCATGTGTTATTATTATTATTATTTTATTATTATTACTATTTTGTTGCTGGTTCTGTTATCAATTATCAAAACAGTTGCAATGTTTTAGCGAATTGACTAATTTTTTTGACTCTACAATATTTTTTATTTTTTTTATTAATAGCATTTTGTATCCTAAATGTAACATCAGTCAGCATTTTGGTCTAGAGCAAGATATAGTACATCTCAATAACTACCGGTCAGAATGGTGTTAAATTGGTATCGGTATTCATCATTGCCAGAGGATATTTCAAGTAATTTTAATGACTTTTCTGTAGTGATGCCATTCCACTTGTACATAAGAAACATTACATTGGGCATATCGCACTAAAAACTGCTGCTCCCCACTGCCGGGAAGGTTCTTAAAACAACAGCAGAATTGTTAGTGTGTTTTTCCACCTGATACTTTTTTCATTCTGAGGTGTAATAAACACTGTCGCAAGTGGGCTTCCTGAGTTTGGTTCTTTTTTCTTAAAATCCATCCTGTCTGGTGTACCAGAAATCAAAGTAAAGATATTGACACACTGGCAAAAAAGAGTGCTATAGTCTGGCTGTTTTTTATGTAATAGTGCCTAATATACTTTTAATTATTTATTTGGAAGAATTATGATGATTAGTACTTTAAAGCTCCTATTTGTATGATTTTAACATTTCTGACTTTGGCAACTCCTAGTGGTCAAATGCACAAATAGAATTAGTCTATATTAGTCACATTTTTCAAAATCATTTGAAAGATGGTTTGATCTTAAATATTCTACATATAGTGGCTTCAAGTTTCATCGTTCCTCACCTTTAATAACTCAGGGGCCTGTTTCTTCAGCTTCTCCAGCTTCCACTCATTCTCACAGGGGTTGAGGGAGGATGGTGGGGCAGTACACGAGCATTTACAGTCAGATCCGGAGCTGACTGTCTCCACAGTGTAATAATCCTCCACACGTACACTGCCGCTCCGCAGCCGCAAGCAAGCGTCTTTGCTTAAAGGGCGCATGATGCACTTACAGCGGCAGTCTGAACCTTCTGATGTCATCCGAACAGGCTCAGTCTCCCCAAAGATCTGGAAGACAGAATGTGAATTTTCCCATTTACAAATCCAAAAAAAAGGTCTTTTGAGTATTTTTTTGTGTTGTCACTACAATTGTCTAATTTTTGCACTAAAGTGCATGTAGTAGAAATGTCTTATTGTGGTATTATACTAAACAAGCAGCTCCAGGGCTGAGCACTTCTTCCACCAGTGAAACCTGTGTTCTTCCAGTCATCAGTTCCATTCGTCTAAACCCCTGCTGGTATTCCATGAATAATAAATCATTGTTTTTATTGTAGGGAAACAAAAACAAGGGAAGGAAAATGTTCCTGAAAAATAACCACATGCTTCCCCACTTTTGAATGTTAGCTGGTCTCAGAGGAAAGCCTCAGAGACAAACATAACTCACAACACCACCAGCAGGCCTTTGGCTGCCATGTATGATGACAGAGCTTTGGCAGGACATGTTCATGGCTTACTTATTAACAGAAAGTAATGCATGGCAGCCTGAGCAGACATTCAACAATTCCTATGAGAGTGGTGCAAGCTGGCATCCAGTGGAGATTGCTTTCACACAAGACTTTAACTACACAAATTTACTACATATTTTATTAAATATTTATCAGATATGTAGAAAATATGCAATAATGTGGTGATGGTGAGTTGGACTTTTTCCACTTAATTTTCAATTAATTCTACTTCTAAATAGTGGACTAGTTTACTTAGTTAAGTAGTGTGTGAATTTCGACAGGATTTAGTGTCTCAAATCGCATTATTTTTATTCCTACCAGATTTTCAACAAAGTTTCGTGTGGATATTCATTGTCTTTCTACACATGATGCCTGGAGTGAATCTCCATAGACCTCCATGTTACACTTTACAGCAGAAATAAACAAGTGAAATGCCTGGTACAAAAACGGATATGGTTTCTGTAAGTTACCCATTAATGACAACTGTGGCCACTTTGAGTGACAGGTGTGTGCCCTCTCAGGTGGCTAGCTGCTAGATGGTGAAACAACCAGGCTTCATTTGGGCCCCTCAGCTCCACCTCTCAGCCCATTTTTTGGATTAGCCAACGTCAGGCACTGTCAATATTGCACCAGTTGGAGCAACTGGGAGCTGCCGGGAGCCGTCTGCACTGAGCTTTATAATGGCTCTTCAGAAACCTATGGGTGATGTCATGGACACTATGCCTATGTTTTATACAGTCTATGAGCAGAACCAGAGAAATCGTCCTTTTTGTTCCACACATTCTTCTTACTTTTTATGTTTTATGCTAGTAGTGGCTAATGAAGCCCAAGTTTCTAGCCTTAAGCATAGATGAGGAGCGACACAGGTCTGGTCACCTCACTTCTTTCTAATGCCACACCCCAGATTTTTTCATCTTCAAACATCTTTAGTACCAACAACACTGACTCCAGTGACATAACTTGAGGACATCAGCTCTCTCTGGAGACATAAAAGGCTGCAGTAGTACTCCCAAAACCTGAAGGGTTGGTAGTACTGAATTTACTCTCGTTAGTGTAAGTTGTTTTTATGTACTTGTTCTTTTTTGGAGTATTTTAAAAATAAGTCATTTTGCTTTGACTTAAACCTTCAGTGCGACCTTTAATCTCTACCCTACTGACAGAGAGAAAAAATACACAACACTGTCGACATGTGCTAATGATCCTCCTAGGCTCTGCCACCCTGAGTTGCTTCTGTCGATGTGGTTGCCCCCCTGTCCTGATAAACCCTGTGAGAATGGAAAAAAGTAAGGAGCCATATCAGCAGCTGCAGCAGAGAAGAAGCTGGTGTGTTTGCGGCCGCAGGAGGACAGAGCCCCAGAGAGGTTACACTCAGCACACAGCTGACACCCTGTAAGAGATACATGTGTGGCTCCCCAGCTGAGGGTCAGGGGGTTATGTGAGGTGCAATTAAAGTTAGTGAAGACTGAACAGTACAAAAAGCAATACAATTAAAGTTGATGATAATTTGCATTATTGTATCTCAGCTTAAATAAAGTTGCATCTACCTTAACCACTGATTTAATGGATCACCAGAGGAGAACACTAAGTGATCCATATCACCTCCAGCTGTGATTTCTGCATTCAATTAGTAAACTTTACTTTCAGTGAGACGTGTAAGGCCTTACTGCTGTTTTTGACATGTTGTGACTACAAGAGTGCTCGTTCAGTTGTAAGTGTTAAAAAGCGGGGGAGCGCAGTGGTTAGAGGCTGAGGCAGAGTGGACTGGTTATAGTGGGACATAGAGGGACAGAGAGGCTGAGTGGACTGGTTATCGTGGGACAGAGAGGCTGAGTGGACTGGTTATAGTGGGACAGAGAGGGACAGAGAGGCTGAGTGGACTGGTTATAGTGGGACAGAGAGGGACAGAGAGGCTGAGTGGACTGGTTATAGTGGGACAGAGAGGGACAGAGAGGCTGAGTGGACTGGTTATAGTGGGACAGAGAGGGACAGAGAGGCTGAGTGGACTGGTTATAGTGGGACAGAGAGGCTGAGTGGACTGGTTATAGTTGGAAAGAAAGTCTGAGTGGACTGGTTAAATTGGGACAGAGAAGCTGAGTGGACTGGTTATAGTGGGACAGAGAGGGACAGAGAGGCTGAGTGGACTGGTTATAGTGGGACAGGGAGGCTGAGTGGACTGGTTATAGTGGGACAGAGAGGGACAGAGAGGCTGAGTGGACTGGTTATAGTGGGACAGAGAGGCTGAGTGGACTGGTTATAGTGGGACAGAGAGGCTGAGTGGACTGGTTATAGTTTTATCCTCTGTTGTGCATTGTACTTAAATGGTCTGCACCAAAGGGCATTCTTTTTGAAAACAACCATAATGACAGACAAGACTCTGATGTATCAATACATACTGTATATTGCATGTTCATATCATGCATGTACTATTCATAGTACTAGTTTGGTTTGTCACTTGCTATCACTCATGTTTTCAGTTCATGGGATGCATCTTACTTAGTTCCATCATTTGGAGTGATGACTGTTGGATCATGTGATGGAGGAGGGTTGGCCTGTCATCTCTGTCCGGTGAGATTTAGGGACCTCTATAAACTGCAGGATGGGCGCACATGTGGTATCACTTTTATCAGGAAGAGAGTTTAGCAACACCGAGATTCTTCATTAATGAGCTGTGGTCCTGTTCTCATGTGACTAAAGGGAGGAGGTAGTATTCTCAGTACAGTAGTATTCTCTCTTAGGATGGATCAATCTTTTCGTAATTCAATCTCTACAAAATAGTGACCATTCCCTCTTTGTGAGGTAGTTTTCCAAGAAATGGAAAATAGGTTTAAAGTAAACTTAAACAGAAATTCCTCCTGGTTATGTCAAAACAGCATATGTCATATTAAAAAAGTCCCTAGTTTAGTGTTTCAAATGTGAATATTTACTAATTGTCTCTTATTTATATGATTTTAAACTAAACTTCTTTGGGCTGTTGGTCAGACCAAACAATATATCTGAACAGGTCACCTTGGAGTCTGGGAAAATGGTATAGACATTTATCACTTTTAATCCTCAGATGAATCAATGCTGAAAATAATTATTAGCCCTAAATTGGATTACTGTATTCCTATTGGAGAAAGGGGGAGGAGTGGTGGAGGTGGTGGAGGCTCATTAGTGAAGGAATGCAGGCTGAGTGATGGGGGAAGGTATGGAGGAGGGTATGATTTCTCCTCCATTACTGGGAGGGGGTCCTGATATGGGGCAGGACTCCTGTGTGCAGAGCCGGCCGAGTCATGACCTATGTCAAGCGAAAAGGCAGCAGGTTGACAAATCCTACAGCCACATGAAAACAGAGTGGATTAGCAGATTAAACTTCTTTAACAGAGGCCATGCCTACGGCCCTGCTGAGCTGCATTGTTCAACCCTAGCCAAACACTGACTGCTGCATGGCAACATGAGCTTAGGTTACTTTAAGTTGGAGAAGTCAGAGAAATTCCAACCAGATTTACTTTGGTACTTAATGATTTGTCTAGTCAGGAAAGACTAAACCCTTACCTCAGGCTTTGCTGCAGGAGAAAAATTTGGCTGCAGCTTATCATGAAAAATCTAAATTATTCTGCCAATCAGAGCAGCTGCCTCCTCCTCCTGTCAAATCATATGTGCTGGTATGCCTAACTGACCATTCAACATCTCATGCCAAGCTGACCTACCAGCATGAGAACAGGCAACACAATTAAGACTGCTAATAATTAAGAGTACAGAGTATTTAACGCATGCTTTGAGCTTTGAGTCTTTGGCGTTGACCTATCAAGTGCAGTCAAGTTTCAGGTCAAAAAGAACACGGCTCAAACATGAACTCATGTCTGCACAATAGGAGGAAAAGAGCCTGCACGCAGCAGAGAGCTCTATTAGATCAACTGCTGCAGCCTTGAACAGCTAACACACCCTGACAGTGATGAAGTGAAACCCCAATTGTGCTCAGGATTGCTAAAAACACAAGAAGTGTTACACAATGGCTGCTTCATTTGTTAGCTTCAGAGTTAAAGGTCAGTGTTTCAGAAGCACAGGCCTGTTGTATCTACAGTCTTGTTCATACAAGGATATCCTCTCCTTTTAGTGCCTGGCCAGCTGGTAATCACTGGGACAACTGGGTGGTGAAAAAGGCAGGCAGTGGAGATATCCTGTGGCAAAACTCAAATGTTCCAACCTAAACAGTAGTGCTGTGATTCCTGTTTTGACCTGCAGCTAATTCAGCCCCCCACACCTTTTGAACTATTTTCCCACAAATGCACAAAAAAGGCACCATGAACATTAATTCTAATCAATCTTAAACCCACCAAGCTTGTGGTTTTAAAGGATGGACTATCCCTTTAAAATCCACACCATCTCTTGTCAAGGGTACTCAAGACCAAAACCGGGGTCCACATTCCAGCGCAAAGAGTCCGCCTGATTTTTAATCTAATTAGCAGTGCTTATGATAAACAGTCTTACTGTGCCACTGTAAAGATTAACTTGGTACAAAGGGGGAATTCTATTAAAGCCTTCGGTCTGGAGATGAACCATGAAGTCAGTGGCTCAGACTAT